GGAGCGGTTAGTCGAATTAAAGAGCGACACTAGATTGCGACACCTCTACAGCTCTTCCTCTCTGCCGTCATTTTGGTTGAGCGTGATGCGTAAAATTACTTCTTCCATTCGTCTCAACTTATCTGTGTGAGGCCGGGTTTTCAAAATTGACGGCTTTGAAAACAAAGTACCGAAATCGGCTCCAGGTGGAGGATGACTTGAGGCTTGTGCTATCCAACATTGAACTGCGAATTGCGCTTCTTTGTAAAAAGAAGCAAGCACAGGTATCCCACTGAGGGGGGCGTGCCACATGATAGGGGAGGCTTGGGGGGGCTTTAGTATGTCTGAAATATCTGTTAACACTTTATTTTGATGGTTCCCCAACAGACATTCAACTGACTATAAGCTACTTTGCAAGTTCGTCAACTTATTCTACCAACCCTAACCTATTTTGATGGTTCCCCAACAGACATTCAACTGACTATAAGCTACTTTGCAATAGAGGTCTGCAAGCCCGTCGGGTCCCAACGGGGCCCATTCGGGCCGGGCTCGGGCCATTTTTTTTTACAGAACGGGCTCGGGCTCATTTAGCTTCTCTCCTTTTATTGTGCCATATATGCGCAGAGCACACATAGGCTACTGTATGAAATATTGTTATATTGATTACATTATAAATATTATACATCGCCTACGCACATACAACGCTCATACACACGCATTAGCATAAAGGTGACAGTTGACCACGCAGAGCATCAGGGAGAAGTTGGAGCGTGGGGAGTTACTAAAAGTTCCCAATGCTTCGGAAAAGCTGTATTTTGGAAGAGTCTTGATTTGATTACCACGGCAAACAATGAGTCAATTGGTCATGTGCAGTACAGAATCTGCAAACATAACCTTGCACATGACAGCAAAAAAACGCATGCAATAGGCTAAAGCGTGCCGCAAAGCCCCAGTAAAAGTAATTACCTTGAATGTGTCGGGGGGGGATAATGAGATATTTGAATTATTTATGAATAAATTAGTGTTTTCTGAGTCCGTGTCGCAAAGATGAAGACGACGATCCTGATCCTGAGAAATTCATCTTTACGGATTGTATAAAATCCGAATTCGAATTATTTAGTTTTAAAGTAGTAATTTAAAGCTTTCTATAGATAT